AGAGACATGGAAGACATTTACAGTGAAAACTGCTCAAAGAAATCAAAGATGACACAAACAAGTGGAAAAATATCCCATGCTCATGGAGAAGAATCAACATTGTGAAGATGTTCATCTTACCTAAGGCAATCTACAGATTCAATGCAATACCCATGAAATTACCAGCGACATTCTTCTCAGACCTAGAAAAAACAACACAGGAAATCATATGGAAACACAAACAACCAAGAACAGCCAGGACAATCCTCAGCAAAAAAAAACAAAGCAGGTGGTATCACATTACCAGACTTCAAACTTTACTATAAAGCTACAATCATCAAAACAGCTTGGTATTGGTATAGGAACAGGCATATAGATCAATGGAATATAATTGAGATTCCAGAGGCAAAACCTCAATTTCTCTACCAACTCATCTTCGATAAAGCCTCCACCACCTATAACTGGGGAGAGGAGAACCTATTCAGTAAAGGGTACTGGGAAAACTGACTGACCACATGCAGAAGATTGAAACAGGACCCCTTTCTATCCCCATACACAAAAATTAACTCCAAATGGATCAGAGACCTAAATGTAAAACCTCAAACCATAAAGAACCTTAGAAAATGAAAGGACATACCCTCATGGAAATTGGAACTGGCATCCAATTCCTGAACAAAACCCGAAACCCACAGGCCATAAGAGATAAGATAGACAAGTGGGACCTCATTAAACTGACAAGCTTCTGCAAAGACAAAGAAATGATCAAGAGAGCAGGGAGACAGCCTACAGACTGGGAAAAAGTATTTTCCAACTCCAGGTCTGACAAAGGCTTAACATCTTGGATCTCCAAGTAACTCAAACGTGCTGAAAAGAGAAAAACAAACAACCCCATTATAAAATGGGCAAAAGACATGAACAGACACTTCACAAAGGAAGACATCCAAGCAGCCAACAGACACATGAAGAAATGTTCAACTTCACTAATCATCAGGGAGATGCAAATCAAAACCACACTGAGATACCACCTAACTCCAGTCAGAAAGGCAATTATTAATAACTCAAAAAATAACAGTTGCTGGGGTGGGTGTGGTGAAAAGGAACACTTCTACACTGTTGATGGGAGTGTAAACTAGTGCAACCTCTGTGGAAAGCAGTGTGGTGATTCCTAAAAGCTCTAAATATCGACCTCCCATATGACCCCGCAATCCCCCTACTGGGAATATACCTTGAAGAACTCAAATCACTCCATAAAAAAGATACCTGCACATGTATGTTTATCGCAGCATTGTTCACAATAGCAAGAATCTGGAAGCAACCATGCTGCCCATCAAAAGAGGACTGGATTAAAAAAATGTGGTACATATACATGATGGAATACTATGCAGTCATAAAAAAAATAAAATCATGAATTTCGCAGCAATCTGGATGGAACTTGAGTCTATAATACTGAGTGACCTCTCACAGAAACAAAGATCTGAGTATCACATGTTCTCACTCATATAATGGACCTTGAACATCCAATGTAATAGTATAAAAAATGACTGACAGTAGTGGGAAACTATCGGGGGGAGGAGATGGGATTAAGGGTAGTAAACATCTGTCTGGGGACGGGGAGACAACTCTTATCAATAAGGGTGCCTGAACGAAGCATATTTGTAGACCTAACCCTTAAATGTACCCCACAATATCATAATTAAAAATATTGATTATATTAAAAAAATAGAAAAAATAAAACACTATCAAGTGCTGTGGTTAAACAAAACAAAGCAAAAATAATCTTTATCATTGTTTCCACTCTTGTAGTCTTAGGTTTTTTTACAATGCAATTTATGAACTAAATAGTGAAACTGGAAAACCGTCATTTTCAAAGAAGCTGACTTGGGAACTCAGCAGGGAAGAAGTGAATGTCCAAGGATGCTTTCCCTTAATGACCAGTTCTCCTTCCACAGTTCTTACATTAAAATACAATACTAAAACAACACAAGAAATAAACACTTTCTACAGTGACAGAATATTTGTAAAACCAACCTCAGGCAAAATATTTCCAAAGTTTCCAAGATATTGACTAAAATCATTAACTGATGAAATGATACCTTCTACCTTATTTAATGTTAAAAATAAAAATCTCAATCAAAAAAACCCTTTTTATATATAAAGTCACCATTTGAAAGTTTATTTGTTGAAAATTTTTGATTCTTAATGAGACAGTGTTCCAAGAGATTTGTTGAAAGAGATTAGTCAAAGTCTTTGCCTTTGTTTTGAAGAAACCTAATCATCTATATTAATGCTCATCTGAAGACCCCTCAAATGCAATCACTTGGAAGATGTGGGTGTGGTCTTCAGAGATGCAATAAAAGGACAGATAAGGAGCCAAGCTCGTTCTTCTCCATAACAGTATATGGTTGGAATTTACCTGGTGGTAGAGACTTCTGCAAGCTACTGCTGTTGCACCGTGAGTTCCTGGTCTCTCAACTGATCTTGTATTTCTTCTACAGCAAGCATTGGTGAGATCATAGGAATATTCCTTAGGTGAGTACCCAATTTACAGAAGAGGAGTTCCTACTACTTTCTGAAACAAAATCAAATGTAATTTTAATTTACAAATCAACAAACAGATTCTTTTTTGTAAATAATGTTTGCTAAGTTAGTAAAAACGATCCATTCTTATAACCTACTAAACTATTTAGTTATCTCATTTCATTATGTATTTTGAAATTAATATTATTTTTGGTCAGTTGTTTTGTGTTTTTTAACTGTTCATATGTATGGTAAGGATTCAAATATAGTTGCCAGTTATCTTATAATTTTGTACCTTTTTTAGATCCTATAAATTGCTCAGGAACACTTTATAAGTAACAGAGTGTATTGTCTCTCAGCTTGTAGGCTAATCAAGTGCAGTATAGTCCAAGTGGTGCCTTCATCTATATTCAAAAGAAAATATTCTCCATATGCTGAATAATGTCTAAAACAATTTGAAAAAGATTGCTTTGGATGCTGGTAATTTTGTCTCTTCAGAAGCTTCAGTTTATTAGCTTAAATTCTAAAGACATTAGGAAGAGCTTATGTTTGCAAAAAAGAGACATTGGTGATTATGAAGAAACTTCAGTAATCCTCAGTTCCGTCTGTATTCATCCAATATAGAAACGAGGACCCCAATTTTTTGTGTGATATGTATATATTATAAATAATATTGTTTGCTAAGTTAGTAAAAATGATGCATTCTTATAACCTACTTATCAACTAAACTATTTAGTTATCTCATTTCATTATATATTTTGAAATTATATGATTATTTTTTGTCAATTATTTATGCATATATCACACAAAAAATATATAGGCAGGTTTTCACTCTATCACCCAGGCTGGAGTGCAGTGGAGTGATCATAACTTACTGCAACTTCTACCTCTTGGGCTCAAGTGATCCTCCCACCTCAGCCTCCTGAGTAGCTAGGAGTTCAGGTGCACATCACCCAGTCCAGCTAATTTTCTGATTTTCTGTAGAGATGAAGTCTTGCTATGTTGCCCAGGTTTGTCTTGAACTCATGGGCTCAAGTGATACTCCTGCCTTGGCCTCCCAAAGAGCTGGGATTCCAGGTGTGAGCCACTACATCCAGTCAAAATAAAATTTTGTTAGATGATCATTACATTTTTTTCACAATAGAATAAGGTACCCAATAGTTATAAAGGACTTGAAATATATAGCTATTTTCAATTCTTAAATAATTGGTCTGTTTGAATGCAGGATGTAGATAATCAAGACAGGACAGATTCAACAACTTAGTATATTTATTGACGGAGACTGGTTGAAATATGATCCAATTTTACATTTTAAATTTTAGTTTAATCCTTATTATTTGTATACATTCAGAAACTTATTTGGGTGGGGATTTTCTCAAACTCTCAGGAGTTTGAGTCAAGCCTGGACAACATAGTGAGAACTTGTCTCTACAAAAAAAAGAAAAAGAAAAATTAGCCAGGCATGGTGGCAAACATGTAATCCCAGCTACTTGGGAGATCAAGGTGGAGGAATCACCTGAGCCCAGGAGGTTGAGGCTGCAGTGAGCCCCAATTGTGCCACTGCACTCCAGCCTGGGCTACAGAGTGAAACCCCAACTCAAAAACAAACAAAAAACCCCACATCATATTCTCACCTTGTTAGAGAATTTCTAGAACAGTAAATATAGCAGAAAATTATTGTTGATTAAATTACTGTAGTTTGCTTAGAATGGTTGGTTAGCTCATTTTAATTTTGATCAAGAGCTGCAACACTGGTAGAGTGATGTTGGAAAAATCAAGAGAGGAGGGTTATGACAGCTGGTTGAAATAATGAGATTAAATCTCAGTCACAATTCTTTTTCTAGTGCAATGCCTGGAAATGAGCATTATGATTTATTTTCTAATCAATCTGGACCTCTCTCCTGGAGCTGCAGATTGGATCAATCTCCTGCAGCTTAAGCAATTTGGAAGAAATTAACACTTCAACAAAACTGGCACACTTAAAGAGGAGAAAAGGGTTGGTAATGAAGATGTATGTTGGTTAGGTATGCAGAATATTCTACAAAACTGAAGAAATGTCTTTGAGCCTTAGTTGTTTTTTCCATTTGTGTCATATGTAAAGTAAAGCCGAGCCTGCTCTAAACAGAAGTTTATGTACTCACAACTTGACTAAAAAAAAATTTTTTCTTTTTTGAGTTGGAGTCAGTGGCACACATGCCCATAGCTGCACCAGCGTCGACCTGCTGGGTTCCAGCGATCCTTTCACCTTAGCCTTCCAAATAGCTGGAACTACAGGCGTGCACTACCACGCCCAGCTAATTTTTGATTTATTGTAGAGACAAGATCTCACCAAGTTGCCTGGGCTGGTTGCAAACCTGTGGGCTCGGGCAATCCACTCGCCTTGGCCCCTAAAAGTGCTGGGATTATAGGCTGAGCTACTAAACACGGCCTTGACTAACATTTTTTGCTAGACTTTTGTCTCCAGGTCAGAAGAATAATTATCCTGGTTTTGTTTCCTTAGAAAAATGGACTCAGACATCCTACAATCCTTCCAGAAAGAACTCACCTGCCTCATCTGCCTGAACTACCTTGTAGACCCTGTCAGCTTAGGCTGTGGGCATAGCTTCTGTAGACCCTGCCTCTGCCTTTCCTGGGAAGAAGCCCAAACTTCTGCCCACTGTCCTGCCTGCAGGGAACCATCACAGCAGAAGGACTTCAAAACCAACATTCTTCTCAAGGATTTGGTGTCCATCATCAGAAAAGCCAGCCTCTGGCAATTCCTGAGCTCTGAGAAATACATGTGTGGGACCCACAAGGAGACCAAGAATATGTTCTGTGAAGTTGACAAGAGCCTGCTCTGTTTGCTCTGCTCTAAGTCTCAAGAGCACAGGGCTCACAGACACTGTCCCATTGAAGGGGCAGCTGAGGAACAGCGTGTAAGTGATGGCTCTTAGAGCAGATTGAAAACTGGAGGATAGTAGAGTTAAAGAGATTAGGAGGAAGATGAGGATCATGATGATGCTTATTCTTTACTGAGTTTCTAATTGTACGAAGCACCAGTCCAGGCATAGAAAGTAAAGCTGTGAATAAGATACATAGATCTACCTGCCTTTATGAGGTTTGCATTCCAATGGGAGGGTGACAAAATCAATTGACTATTGTTTTAGTTACATAAAATTGTGCTGACATCAAAGCATAGCCCTCATTTTCAGAGAGCCTGTGGCTACAAACACCATAAAGACAAAGAAGCTTTTATATTGGAAATATACAGTAACACTCAACAAGAAGGAGAAAGTACCACAGAATTAGCAGAAGAGAAGCATTAGTAGATGCAAATTATGAGGCAGAATTCTTATCTGAAAGTTAGCAAACTATACAAAGTGCTTGCCTAGTCTGCTTTTCTCTGCTAAGAATTACATGCGATCTATAGCCTGAAATCTTCCAAAAATGAATGATATAGAGGGTAAACAGGCAAACATGATTCTTCTACTCTCCCTAAACTATTTATACTAAATATTCCTTGTCTTTGTCAGTTATGCTCTGAAATTGATACTATTTGCTGTTCTGGTGCTCACATTCAGAGTTTCATTTTTATTTTTATTTTTAAACAGGAGAAGCTAGTAAAGCAAATGAGATCTTTATGGGAAAACATTCAAGAAAATAAGATAAATCTAAATAAGGAGCACAGAATAAGCAATAAGTGGATGGTAAGTTGAGACAGCTATTTCTGTCAGGACCAGCTTGAGACAGACATGTTGGAAACTTGCCCATGAAGAATGCAAGCTGAAATTATCATGTATTGACATTCTATGATTGAATACAATGGGAAAAATTTAAAACTAATTAAACTTTTTATCATAAAGTTTTATTTATCTTCGTATTTCTAGACTCATGTATCAGAGAGTCTAGAATCCAATTCATGTACCAAAAATTCCATCAAGAAAAGTTTAACAAGTGGTAAGGTGACAGCACAGAGGTTTGGAGAAATTCAGCAACCATTAAGGAGTTCAGGGAAAGTTTTTCAGATTTAAAATCAATCTGATTGACAAATAGGTATTAAAGGGCAAAGGTTTATGTACAAGATGAATTATAGAAATTAAAGGACATGTATTTGTGGATTGCATGGATCTCATATTCAACTGTCCAATGAGCCCCTGGGGATGGAGAAAAGGTGTGAATAGCAATCTCAGACATGTGATGGTGAAAACTGACAGCACAGGAGTGAGACAGTAATACTGGTCCAAAGAGGAGAACAGGTCAAAAGCTGGAAAAACTACAAAACAAAACCAAAAAGACTGAGTGGAGTGAGAAAATGGATACATGAATATAGAAGGATATGCAATGAAAGGAGAATCCATGCTCTTAAATAGCAGGGCAATGTGAGGGCTGTGGCCTTAGGTATAAGGAAGGAAGAAATTAGAAAAATGTAATTCCTTCTGAGGGCTTAGGTTAGATGCTATAGATATGTAGATCTTATCTAACTATTTTTAATCCTAGATGTAATATGCAGAGTTTCTGTTCATTGTAAGTGGTAAGGTGGTGGAGTGGGGAGATTAGAGACTAGAGACTAAGATGCTGCACAGATGAAAACACTACAAGTAATGACTTAAACATAAATAGTAAATTTCAATTCTTTGAGTGTAGTCTTTCAGATTTGATAGGGTGTGTTTATAGAAATTAGCTCTAGGGGGCCATTCTCCAGTTGTCTCAGAAACTAATGAAGTGGATGAAAATACTCTGAGGGAAGAATGGGATACTCTGTGTTAATAAAGAGGAAAATAAGGAAAAAAACAGATGAATTGGATTCTCAGAAGTGGGAGTACATGGATATAGGGTGCATGTAAGCTGATTAAGAGGGGACATGAACCAAAGAGAAGCAGATGAGGTATAAGTGAAGGAGGATCAAGCAGACCTGGAAATGTGATCTGGGGAATTCATCTCTTTCCAGGATTATGTGCTTCTACAAAGAAAGATGATCAGGGCTGAATATAGAAAGTTTCATCCAGTTCTCCATAAGGAAGAACAACAACATTTAAAGAAATTGAAAACGGAAGGCCAAAACATTTTACAGCAACTTAGGAGAAGTGAGACTGAAATGGAGCAAACGAGGAAACAACGAAAAGAATTGTTTAAGGAACTAATGGAAATGTGCCAAAAGCCAGACCAGGAGCTGCTCCAGGTGAGAACTTTCTGTTATCTGGTTCCATCATCCAATAGTCAGTTGGTACCAAAATTATATTTGTTACTGAACATATATCCTGCATCTCTGGTGAGGTCATTTCCCAACCGAACATGATTGAGACAACTAACCATGAAGTTGTATGTAACTGCATGAAATTGTGAGAGTAGTTTGACCAGAGATTATCTTCTAAAATTCTTATTTACCGTGTTTCTCATAACTGGGGAGAAATAACTTATTATGGGCAGTTCATTTTTGTCTCCCATGGACAATATGAAAATGTTTGGGAAAAGGACACTTTCCTTCCTTATTGGTCTTTGAATAACCTCCATTTGAAGTGCCCTTATTTGGGCACTTCAAATACACTAGCCTTTAGGAATCAGCTCTAGGAAGAATACTTGGAAGACAGTTGGTAGTTACAGCAATGCATGGTTACTAGGTTACTATGGTTCCTAACCATGTTCTTCCTTTTATTTATTTCACAGATCTAATTCACTAAGAATTTAGATTCTGTCAATGACTTGTACTAGTTTATCCTTTAAGAGAGCAAAAGGAAAACCAATCTACAACAAGGTTTTGTGGTGCTTGTGATTGGTTTTTTTTTTTTTTTAAATTTTCCCATATCCAAAGACTAGGTAGGTAGAATATCCAATTTCTAAAGAAGTCTAAGTTTTCTTTTTCTCTTTGCAGGAGTCTTTGGAAGACCTACTGACAAAGTAAGTTTGGCCTTCAATGCAAACTGGGGCACCCATGAGGCTTGTGAATGAGATTAAGCTGTTTCTAATAAGTAGAGCCATTAGGGATTAGATTATAGTGTTAAACTGTTGGTTTATATGTCCAAGTATTTGTGAGTTTTACTGAACATGATTTCTTATACCTCTTTATCAGAAGTTTTTCTTGACTCCCTGCCTTGTGGTTCAGAGGTATGTGTTGAAGGACTCAATGCAGGTGTTGCTAGAAGACAGCTACCTGTGTTTTTAGGATTTAACTCATAAGCATCTTGAGGTGCATGAACTAGAAAAGAATGTTGAAATCCAATAAGATGTTTATGGAGGAAACCATAGTATTTGAAAAAGTTTTGATGAAGCATTTTCAGTTGCACACTTTTGTCCTTTATTAAGCACTATAAGAAATCTTTGGCACCCAAACGATTAACTGAAGATTTATTCTTCCAGGAGCAAGTCCATGCAGCTGCACATGCCCCAGCCTGTGAATCCAATGCTCACCATCACACCCATCACTGGACTGATAAACAGGCACAACCGCTTTCAAGGTGAGTGTCAGCCTCTTGTTGGGACTGAAAATGCATAAAGTCCAGTGGGTCTTTCTCCAATCTTCATCTAGGAGATAAAGTAATCCTGTGAATAGGATAGATTTGTATAGTCCTATACTATAACAATGTGGAAAAAAACTAAAAGAAAGCTGATGAAATAAAAGAATGAGAAGAAACAAACACTTAGAAAAGGACTTGGAGCCTAGAATCATTCTCAGACAGCAAGTCAGTTTAATGAGTTGCTCAGAATTGCAAATTCATTAAGTACCTTCTAGTTTCAAATTAAGTGAAATTAGTGGTGGTGATAGTGTTTTATAGTTAAACATTTCCCTTACAATTTCTTATTAATTGAATTTATAATGATTTGTTGAATAATTAATTGAATTTTAACATGCAATGTAACTGATATAAATTAAAAATATGAATAAACATAGAAAAATACATAATTAAATGCACAAAGTGATTTTATGAACAACAAAAATAAATCTAGTTGGTGGAGATGGGTCAGGATATAGAGCTGCATTGTACATCTAAGTCTCAGGTAGCCTGGCAGGCAGAGGAACACTAGGCGTTAGAGGGAACCAGGAAGAAAAGGCAGAAAAGTTCTGGTAGGAAATCACTTTTAAAAAGGCATACATTGATTTTAAGTATAAATTAACTAGCATGTAATAACACTAGTAAATGGATTGTCACTTATGTGTGGTCTCCTCTTCCCATCCTCAGAAGGGGAGGTGAGGGTCCTTTGACTGCTGTGTAATTACAATGTACAGGTCCCCATATGCCATAAAAAGTGACCCAAGAGAAGTAGGCAGGGTGTCCTTCTGTATAATCTCTAAATTTGAAGTTCTTTGGATTAGGTAGGTGCTTCTTTCTGCTCCAGATTTATGGGTAGCACCTGAAGCTGATAGTTTTCTAGCCTGAACTGCCTTTGTGGTCTGGCCTGTTTCTTCCAGTGACAATCTAGATTTTCTTATCCCATAGATAATTTTATTTTTAAAGCAGATTTTGACTGAATATTCTCCTCTTTCCACAGTGGAGATTTCCTTCCATAAGACAATATCCAATGACAATATCAGGCTTTTTGATGATGTGAGGAACTTCTTGTTTAGACCTGACCACGAAGATGGATCTCCAAATGCTGACAGATCTAACTATTCTACTGCATGGGTAGACCAGGACTTCACCTCTGGAAAACACTACTGGGAGCTGGATGTGGATGACTCTTGGGACTGGGCTCTAGGTGTCTGTAAGGATTCCGGGATAAGCAATCCTGGCACAATGCTTGAATCTGAGGGCGTATTTCTCCTTTTAAGTCTGAGGGAGCGTAAGCATTACAGTCTCTTGACCACCTCTCCACTGATTACCCACTACAGAGAGAAACCTCTGGGCCGGGTTGGTGTGTTTCTTGATTTTGAGAGTAGAAGTGTGAGTTTTTTGAATGTTGCCAAGAATTCTCTCATATGGAGTTACCCTGCTGACTCCTTCAATTCCCCGGTCAGGCCATTCTTTTACACTAGACACAGATGATCAGGGATAAGCCTGGAACCGGTGTGTTCAGGGACTCCACTTACAAGGGAGCCCTTCTCAGTTAAAGCAAAGCAATAATCTTTTCCTGTCTTAAGTTTTTCTACTTTAATATAACCTAATTTTTTATATTTATGAAATACACAAAACAAATAAAATATAAATTTTTTTAGTCTGTTTATTTAAATTAAAATCATCTCTTGTGGTCCATTACCTAAATATATACTGTGCTTGGTCACCTGCTTTGTGAGCTTACTAGTGTTCTAAGTATCTATGGGTGTGTGATTCCCATTAAATGGTCTAATGTATGAACAAGTTTGCATATCATGCACAGACCTGTTAGCCACACTGCACATGTCAGTCTAAGATCTTCTCCCTCCCATTTTCTGGTAATTTCTACATACCAATTCACCCCTTGGGGGAAAAAAGCCTATTTGATAGTGAAATTTCCACTGGACCATCAGGATGTGGATTGCCCTTTCTGCAGATAGACTCATAATAGCTAGTTATTTTCTAATATAAATTACAAAGATATAGAAGATGTCTCTTATATTCAGGCTATAGTCTTATACTGGAAGCCGCAACCCCTAAAGAGGCAAAATGAAGGTTACCCGAAAATGGGCAAAATGCTGACTGGGAGCAGAGCCCCAGTGGGAAGTGGCCATGATGGAAGCAGAGCCCCATGGATCCTATTGAAGGACTCCTTTTGGTCTTAAAGGAATGCGTGCTTAGGCTTGAAAAACACTTCCCTTGATAAACAAAACAATTAGCTAGAATGTGCAAGGATGTGGAATTAGCAGTAAACCTATGTATAGAAACGTAAAAAGGGCTCAACAGCAAAAATTTCCCCCTGAAAGGACAAGGGAATGTTTTACTACTCCCTTTCCCATGAAATTTTGCAACCTTTAGCTAAAAAGGAAAAACAAGTACTTCCTCATACCCTTTATAAGTAACAACATTGACAGTTGTGATTGATGAGGAAGTGAGAAACTGAGACAGAGTGTCTCCAAAAACAGGTGTTTTTGGGAAAAACAAGTCACAGACATTCCTTTTGATTTAAGAAACATTATAGTTTAATTAGAAAGAGGGTTTAGCCGGGCTTGGTGACTCAGCCTGTAATCCCACGCCTTTGGGAGGCTTAGGTGAGTGGATTGCCTGAGCCCGCGGGTTCGAGACCCACCTGGGCAGCAAGACCTCATCTCTACAATAACTCAAAAAATCAGGCGGACGTGGTAGTGCAGGCCTGTAATTCCGGCTACTCAGAAGGCTGAGGTGGAAGGATCACCGGAGCCCAGCAGGCGAGGCTGTGGTGGCCAGGAGCGGCCACTGCACTCCAGTCTGGGTGACCGAGTGAGACTCCAACTCAACAACAACAACAACAACAAACAAAAAACAAACAAAAAAAGAAAAAGAAAAAAAGAAAAAGGGTTAAAATTAAAGTAACGATTAGAATTAAATAAATAACAGTTATAATTAAAAGATAAATGTTTATTATAGATGTAGGTATTAATTAAATATAAGTAATAGAAGGAATAGGAAATAATTAAGTTTTAAGGTAAACTTAAAATTATACACACTTAATGCAGGTTTAAAATTAAATACATTTAGGATTAGAAGTAAGATTAATTTCATATATAAGTGTAGATTTAGACATGTTTTGTTTAGAAATATAAAATGTAAAATAGGTGATAAGAAAATAGCAAGTAATATAGATAAGGTAATTAGAATTAAGAAAGTTATATTTTTAAATTAATAGTAAAATTAATTAATATAGAGTATTAAGAATTCGTAGTGGGTAAGATAAGGGTGGCTATATAAAAGAAAAAAACAAGACAATATATTGCTGCTAAAAGTGTATATAAGTGTAGAATTAAGAAAATAGATTAGTAAAGGAAAAGAAATAGAATAGCAAAGGAAAGAGATTCTGTTGGCCTAGAGGTCACAGGTTGTAGCTGATAAACTCTTGGCAGCTGGTATTTTGTTCCTATCTGTTGATTCAGACATAAATAACACCACTGGTTGCAGGAAGGAACAAAATGAAAGTTGTAAAGGTCAACTTCCCCATAAACAAAAGGAAAAAACATGATGTAAGCATTTAATGTGTAATGTGTGTTGCATTTTTGTGGGTACAGGGGCCAGTAAAAAAACTATATAAGCATGTAAGAATTGAATAAAAATTGGCAGAGTCCTGAACTCTACCCAAGAAGTTGACTGCTGTTGTTCTCCTTCGCCATTCCTGATTCTCCCCATTCAGGCCCTTACTCTCTCCTGGAGCTGGACTCCAGTAGTCTTAGCATGTAACAATGTCTAGAAAATAACGGGCACTTAAATGTTTGATGGATACATTAATAGACGAGTGCCACAATTATCTTTTATTCAATAATGTTAATTTACAGTGTGTTACTCCTTAATCTTGTTTTAACAAACAGTATCTTCACTGAATTACATTTCTGAAAGGAAGTTATAATTAACTGAGGCTGGTGATTCTCAAAGTATGGGTCCAGTTTCAGTGACATCAGTATCACTGAGCACTGGTTAGAAATGCAAAATTTTTGGTCACACCCAAGATCTGGGTGGGGCCTGAAATCTGTGGTTTAACAAATCTTTCAGGTAATTCTAATGAATGCTAATATTTGAGAAACACTGATTTAAGCTGATTTACAGATGCAGAGTTTTAATATATTTTTTATACCTGAGAACAAAAGGATCATTAGACTTGATGTGATTCAATAGAGTTTATTATGTATGTTTCAATGATTTAAAAAAGTATAATAGGAGAGATCAAAATTTCACACAAAATGTTGGGGATTCAGAAAATAAGTCAATTATCATGGATAACATTTTCATGGAATAGACACAATTTTATATTTTGAATCATTCACACTACAATAGAGGAAATATTTCCTTTCAGTTTAGAAAACACAGGAAATAAACAGTAATTAAAAAACAATCTAGATGTAATTAGGTCAAATAATTAATAAGTTTATTAGTCAGAAAAGAAACTGCAATTAAATTCAGTTCTATTATTATTTTTTAAATCTCTGGAAATACTATTGCATGATGAGATTTCAAGGACTTGCTTTATACATATAAATTTTCTACTTGATACTGATGTCATCAGTGTTAGAGCAGTGGTCTTCTATCATTTAAAATATCAAATACATATTCTGAGACATCAGTAGCAGACAGTGTAGTCTCAAGATGCAGTAACAATTAAACCAGTGGCAATTGGTGAGGAACAGAGAATAAAAACCAGAACAGAAGCCTCCTCAGTTATTAGTATTTCCAAGGCCCTGGTCAGGCTTCTGGCCTGTCTCTGACCCTTTAGATCCATAGCAAATGAAAGGTCTGAGTGGGACATTGAAGAGGCATGAAAGGAAACTACAAATGAGGGAACTTCTGGCAACATCAACAAAGCTCACTAGACCACATTCGTAATCCAGGAACACACCTATCCAGCCCTGGGGTCTGGGAATATAATGAGGTAAGAGTGGAGAAGTAGAGAAGAGACTGAAATGGTCATCTACTCTGACACACAGGAGAAGAAAGATGCCCTCTGAGCCAAGTCGCATGTCGTTCCTGTTTGTCCAGGATTCTTTGCAAAGTCCTATAACCCAATTAAAAGAGTTTCCCACATCCACTTCCCAGTAATGTTTGCCCATGGTGAAGGTCTGAGCTCCCCATGAAGGAACATATTCTGCACTTGCTTGACTATAGGGCATGTCTGGATAGCCAGGGCTACATTGCAAATGCCTCAGGTCTTCAAACAAAAGCTTGTGATGACTACGTATCTTGCCATCCAAGGTAATATACACTGCAGTAGAAAGAAAACAGTGAATACAGAGTTAAGTACAGCATTTAAAAGCTCATAGGTGCTGGCACAGGTTCAGTGTGGCAAATGCTTAACAATCGCAGTTTTGAAAACAAAAACAACTGGTTCACTTTGCTTTTTGGGGATATTTTCACCTCACTATAAGCAGTTTCAAGCTACTAACCATTTAGTAATTGTTCACAAAATTCCAAGATATTTACCATTGAGCTTTCATGGGTCAGACCTAGCTGGCCCTGGCACACTACTTTATCCCAAGTGGCATACAGAGTATATCGCTGGAAATATGGGACCAGATTAGCAAGAGCTTCTTGTCTACTGCACAGCAAGCAAATCTCTACTCACACCAGTAGATGAAGGATAGTTTAAAGCATATATAAAGAAGTAGGATGTTAAAAACTGATCTTTCACTAGCCCACTGAAAATTTGGAAGCCCATTTATAAGATACAAGGATAACAGCAAAATGGCCCTTAATTCTTCTAAGCCTTTTTTTTTCTTTTTGTTGATGATGTGTGCTCCCCTCCCCTGGCAGTCTCTCATCTAAGCCTTCTTATTAATCAACTGTCAGAAAGTAAAATAAATATAAAATAATAAACAAGCTATCATTAATTATACTTAAGCTTTGATATTGTTGTTATCATGATCCCTAAGCAGTGACCACTTTGCTTAGGATGTGAGGCTTCACCCTTGATCTCAGCCAAAAGACTGAGACGGGATGAGGGCTTCACAACTTAAGCAAATAAATAAGAAAGAACCTGTGTCCATTGAGAAAAGTAGCTTCTCTACCAGAATTTCCAACTTTGACACCATTACGCCATAATTTCCTTCCTCCCATCCCACAACTTCTCTTCTCCCTGCCAGACTTATACCAGTTCCACCAGTCTCATGTCACCCTCTACACAGTGAGTAAATCGTATACTCAATCTACTTTGTGGCTGTGCCTGCTGTTTACAAACATATCTTTATGCTTTTGAGAATTCTATGGTTTTTCAAATGCATTCCTTGAAAATTCAATCTTTAGATAAACATTTAAATAACATTAAGATTTGCCTGAGTCTGCAGGTTCGAGACCCTCCTGGGCAACTTGGCAAAACCTCATCTCTACAATAAATCAAAACAAAAATTAGCCAGGCGTGGTAGTGCACGCCTGTAGTTCCAGCTACTGGAAGGCTGAGGCGGAAGGATCGCTGGAGCCCACCAGGTCGAGGCTGTGGTGGCTGGGAGTGGCCACTGCACTCCAGTCTGGATGACAGAGTGAGACTCCAACTCAAAAACTAAATAAATAAAATAACATTAAGATGTTTCTTGGAATCTGGGCACTTAAATATAACCAAAATTGAAACACACTGAATGAATATGCGGTTTTACATGCTGCATTGGAATATTAGTAAAGCACTCATGACATCCTCCACGTCTTTCCTGAGTGTTTGTTCTTTCTTTACTCAGTGTAAATAATCATATAACAAACTGTCTTTTGTGTTTGTTTTTGCCAGCCTTCTGTTAATTCAGTTTCAATGTTAATTATAAAGTTTGCAGATTTTCCTGCTACCCATTCACTGAAAATAATAATAGAGAAATGAAGATGGTCACCCATGGGTTTCTACTCATGTTGGAAATATTAGCGCTATCACACCAGAGCACTGCCTCTTACCTCTGAAGAAGCTGAGCCTTTCTGACAGCCCAGTGATGGCCCAGGCACTGAGCTGTGGGTTCACAGGCTGAGGCAGGTATAGCTGTACCAATTCACTCCTGCAAAGAAAAAGACCCACTTACCACCAAGCCCAAGGGTATCCCTAGCCATCCACAGACAATACTTCACCAGATTCCTCTCAATGACGTTTAAAGAGTATGATCTGGACTTAAGAACTGAGAAATACTGCAATTGTCACTGTGTCTTATAATCTGCTTCCCTGCACTTCATATCTCAAACCAGGCAGAACATATCATCTCCATCATAACTGCATCAGTTTCCACTCTTCTCACTGAAAAAAGGAACAGGAACATCTGCTCCTGGGCTTTTGAAGTGTCCTGACCCCTAGGGCAGCCATAACTCCCTCCTGGGAAACTTCTCCTCCATTGTGTAATTAACTAGGAGAACTTATCTGCTTACGCCAGCATAACCTGGCCACATCTGCTTCTGTAAACTTGCTTGCTTGCTTGTGCCAGCAGGGTGTTGTGGTTAGATCAAAGAAAAGCCCCTGATGCACATAGCCCAGGCCTCCAGAATGTGGTTAGGGGCTATTTAAGACAATCCTTTGCTGCAGTACGGGGCCCTTGCTTTGGAACTCATGTCCAGCAAGTGGTTGCTGGCCAGCAGAGCCTTGACTAATAATCCTCTCCTTTGTTAATTTGAGTCGGTGGACTGTCATTTAATTACTCAGACTCTACTTCATTTGGGGGCTCATCCAGGAGAACTGAGTGCTTCAATTGTACCCATTTCAACTCTCAGGCCTTGTAGGACTGCGTCCCAGCAAACTCTCTGGGTTCGACTGGGCCTGTACCTTTGGCAGATTCACAACGCCCCTGGAAGCCCTCAGAGAGGTAAGTCAGGTTCCTGATTTCTGTTTTGAGTACACTCCTGTAGAGACCTTCAGGAAAGCTGGACACAGCGCTAATTCCAGGATCCGAGATCCCAGTGAGACGTCACTGGGACCTCCTGTTTTGCCCTCGGGCAGTCAGGTCTCTCTGTTCAGTCTTTGTTGTCTTGTCTGTGTGTTCAGTGTTTGTTACTGTCATGTATGCTATTGTAATTGATATCATGGGTCAATTACATGTTCTCAGTCTGGCAACCCTTTGCAACTAGTCCTGTGCCATTTCAAGAACTTTGAGAAAGTGGCACAGGACTCAGGTGTCCAGATGAATAAAGATAAACTAACCACCTTTTGTTCCCTCGAATGGCCCATGTTTCCCAACTGCAACTGGCCATTGGAGGAAACTTGTGACCCCACCATAGTAGGAAAGGTCCGTCAGTTCGTCTATCGCCGTCACCTGGACCAGGTCCCATACATCACTGCCTGGTACCTTCTCGTAATGCAACAGCCACCATGGATGAAAAAGTCTAAAAAGAATAATAATACTTCTCATGTTTTAACTCTGCAGGAAACTCCTAAGGCCAAAACCCCGGTCCTCCAGAAGCCACCGGAGGACGACAACATTTCCCCATCGTACCCTGTGCCCGGGCAGGAAAAAGGGACCCAAGAGGTTCTCAGTCTGCCACATACAAGGAGTGGGTCCTCTTACCAGCCCCTTTACCCCACTCTTCCCCATTTGTCCTCAAAAGGGCTGACAGCCCCCAGCCAGCCGACAAGCCCAGATTCATCTCTGGAGAAGTCGGAGATAGAAATGCCGGCAATCCTCCCCCTGAGACAGATGCCAGGGCTCGATGTGGGAGGGATGGGAGTTCAACCCTTCATGGTCTATGTCCCTTTCTCCACTAGTGACCTCTATAACTGAAAGAATCAGAACCCGCCATTCTCTGAGAGACTCCAGGGTCTCATTTCTCTCTTAGAAACTATCTTCTTCACCCATCAGCCCACATGGGATGATTGCCAACAGCTTCTCCAAGCTCTCTTCACCACAGATGAGAGGGGAAAAAAATCCACCAGGAAGCAAGAAAATTAGTCCTGGGACCAGATGGCAGACCTGCGGAGCAGTCCTGTGTAGAGCATGTCTTCTCTACTGAAAGACCCAACTGGAACCCCAACACCAATCACAGTAGGTAGTGTCTCACCACCTATCGCCAGACTCTAATGGGGTGTCTCCGGCTGCTGCAAGGTGCCCTACAAATTTGTCTAAGATAAGTGAGGTTACACAGGGCCAGCAGGAATCCCCTACCGCTTTTTTGGAATGGCTCATGGAGGTCTATCGGATGTACACTCTGATAGACCCAGAAGCCCCAGAAAACCAGAGGGCACTGGTCATAGCATTTGTCTCCCAATCAGCCCCAGATGGAAAAAAAAAAACAAAACTGCAGTAGATTGAGTGATTCGAAGGCAAAAACTTGTCAGAATTAACAGAGGTAGCCCAAAAGGTTTATAACAACAGAGACTCCCAGGAGAATAGGCAGGCTAAAAAAATAAATGGCTAAAGTGATTGTGGCAGCCCTGAAAGAAGCCAGACCGAGACAGCCAACTGAGAGAGGGAACAACAGGGATGCAAAAGAAAGCCACTGGCAAAGGACCAGTGTGCCTACTTCAAAAAGTTTGAACACTATGTAAAAGATTGCCCAAACAAGCCACCCTGACCACAGGCTCTCTCTCCACGTTCAAGAGAATATCCACCACTGCCCACTCCGGTACTTCAGCTGCAAACAGACTGATGGGGCCGGGGCTCTAACAGTACCCTATACCCCAGGAGGCCCGGAGGGGCATTGCAGCCCACATCCAGTGCCTCCAGCAGGCTGGGATCTTAGTACCACGCCACTCACCCTGGAACACTCCGCTGCTCCCAGTCCAGAAGGCAGGCACAGGGGATTACCAACCAGTGCAGGACCCTAAGGAAAATTAACAAGCGAGTAGAGCACATTCACCCCACAGTCCCTAACCTGTATACCCTCTTAGGTGGGCTCTCCCTCGAAAGAAAAGTGTATACTGTCCTGGACCTCAAGGATACCTTCTTCAGCATCCCACTGGCCAGGCAGAACCAACCTATGTTTGCCTTTGAATGGACAGATCCTGATAAAGGGGAAAGTGGCCAGTTAACCTGGACACGACTCCCACAAGGGTTTAAAAACTCCCCTACACTGTTCGATGAAGCCCTTCACCAAAACCTCCAAGCTTTCCGACAGCAGCACCCTGAAGTGACTCTGATACAATATGTAGATGACCTGCTAATCACAGCTACATCGGAAACTGAGTGCCTGTGTGCCACCTGGCACCTGCTTAAGGAACTTCAAGCCCTAGGGTATCACGTGTCAGCAAAGAAGTCTCAGCTTTGTGTATCAATAGCTGCCTACCTCAGGTACAATCTCCAAGGAGGTAAAAGGTCTCTAACTACCCAGTGCATTCAAGCCATGGAAGGCATCCCCATCCCAGGGAACAAAAGGCAGGTTCAGGAGTTCCTAGGGGCTGTGGGGTACTACCGACTGTGGATCCCCAAGTTTGCTGAGCTTGCGACACCCCTATATAAAATCACAAAGGGACCAGAAGCTAGCTTCCAATGAATCCTGGAAGAAGAAAAAAGTTCCAGGCCCTTAAAACTGCCTTAGTCTCAGCCCCAGCTCTGGCCTTGCTGGACATTAAAAAACCTTTCCACCTCTTTCTGGATGAGAGGCGTGGTGTTGCTCGAGGGGTCCTAACCCAGAAACTCGGCCCATAAAACAGGCCAATGGCTTATTTATCAGAAGCTAGACCCAGTAGCTTCAGGGTGGCTGCCTTGCCTACAAGTCATTGCAGCTATCGCTATGTTAGTAAAGGACTCAAACAAGCTAATGCTGGGACAGAATTTAACTAACACAGCAACTCACGAGGTGAGGTCCTTGCTTCGAGGGGCCCCTAATAAATGAATGTCAAACGCCCAAATAACCCATTACCAAGTGTTGCTTCTAAATCAGCCGCGCATCAAGTTTCAGCACACCATGGCTTGAACCCAGCAACCCTGCAGCCAGAATAAAGCCCTGCGGGACCAGCCCACTGTTGTTTTGAGGTCACTGAATCTCTCCAGAAGTTGCAATGGAACCTAACAGACGTTCCAAGAACAAACCCTGACCTAACTGTCTTCTCAGATGGCAGCAGTTTTGTGCAGAATGGGGTTAGGTATGTGGGGGCAGCAGTGGTCACTGTGCAAGGGATTATCAAGGCTGAGCCTCTCCCCCAGGGAACATCGGCCCAGAAAGTGGAACTAATCATGCTGACTGAGGCCCTAAAAGCCGGCATGGGGAAAACTGTAAACATTTACACTGACAGCAAATGTGCCTTTGCTACTGCACATGTGCACAGGGCAATTTACAGATAGGGGGTTGCTCACTGAGGAGGGAAAAACCATTAAAAACAAGGCAGAAATCCTAGATTTACTGGTGGCAATCTGGGCCCCTAAAAGGGTGGCCATTATTCACTGCCCTGGTCACCAAAAAGGGAACTCAAAGGAAGCAATAGAAAACTGAAAGGCAAACCAAGCGGCCAGAGACGCTGCTTACCGCAGAACCACTTGCTTGCTAACATTGCCTTCTCCGGTGCTAAGCAAGTCGCCAGAATACACAGAAGAAGACCTCCTTGCTGTGTGAAAACTAGGTGAAACAACAAAAAAACCCCATTGGGTGACTGCTTCTTCAGGATGGCAGAATCTTCCTCCCACAAGTCTTAGGACGGCAACTTTGCACCAGCTCCACGAAGAAACCCACTTAGGGAAAACAAAACTAACTGAACTCATACAGAAGGAGTTTTTCCTCCCCCATCTAAACCAGTTGGTGCAAGAACTCGTTCAGAGCTGTGTGCCCTGTCAGCAAACCAACTGTGCTAAGGTCAGTGTATCTACCCACGGGGTCCGAGACAGGGGATTAACCCCTGGGAGACATTGGGAAATAGATTTTATGGAGATAAAACCTGGGAAGTATGGATATAAAAATACCTATTGGTGTTGGTGGACACTTTCTCGGGTTGGGTGGAGGTGTTTCCCACAAAAACTGAAATTGGCTCAGTCACTTAAAAAGCTTTTAAATAACATTATCCCGAGATATGGTCTATCTATCTCAAACAATAGCCTAGCATTTGTCTCAAAACTCACTAAAAGTATTGCAAAAACCTTGGGGATAAACTGGAATTTACACTGTGCTTATCATCCCCAAAGCTCAGGTCAGGTAAAAAAAATGAATCGGACACTCAAGGAGACCTTAACCTAATTAACCCTGGAGACTGGTGAGGGTTGGGTAACGCTCCTTCCCTATGCCCTCCTAAGGGCTAGGGGTACCCCCTATATTAAGGCCTAACCCCCTTTAAAATCTTCTTCGGACAGCCTCTGCCCGTGCTTCCAAAAGTAGGATTAGAAAATATGTCAGAACTTTCTAATCATAATTTTCTTCAGTCACTGCAGGCATTCCAAAAAGTTCAGCGGGCTGTGGCTAAAACCATGTAAGCAGCCCTCCAAAATCTGGCTCTGGAAATCCCGCACCCGTTCCAGCCCGGTGACCAGGTCTGAATAAAGTGGCACAAAACCGAGGCTCTTGCCCCCAGGTGAAAGGGCCCCCACGTGGTGATCCTAACAACCCCCACTGCTGTCAAGGTTAGTGGCATCTGTCCCTGGATTCACCACTCACAAGTAAAAACTGTCACCGCCTCACACCCAGAAGCATGGAAGGTTGCCAAGCCAGCTGCCGGGGAGGACCCCTTAAAGATAAGATTCTTGGGAACCCCGGCTTCCTAGTTCTAATCTTCATAAGTCTCCCTTGGTGTAATGCATATTAGCCTTATTTGTGGCACTATTATGCCCCTGGGAATTACACTTGGGACTTAATAAACACCGTTACTGGGGCCATAGTCTCCTCTTGCCACAGAAGTGGGCAGCCAGTTTTTAATTTCAATCTTTGTAAACTATGGCCTAGACTGTTAACAGGTGAGGCAGTATTGTGTAGGGATGGCGGCCCCGAGGAGGAGGATGTATGTCTTCCCCACAGCTGTGGGGATCTGAAATCCAAGAAGCAGCTTGCAAATGTTGAGCGTTACGCCTGCCTGGCTACCGGCCCTAACCATTGTCACAAACCCCAACAATTCCACTTCGCTGCTGGGCTGCGAAACTATTGCTACCTGGAAAAAACAGTAACCCCTACATAAACCTCCATAGACAGTCGCCCCCACCCCCATGTAGTCAGTCAAAGACTTGTAACCCACTAAGACTGACTGTAACCCACTGGGACACCTTTAGTATTCAGAAGGTATGGGAATCGGGCAGGACATAGGGGTTTAGAATGTGTGTTTCAGGACATGACCCTGGAAAATGCTGTTCACCATACAAAGAAAACGTACCCCCCACACTCTCAATCCCGTGGGCCCAATCCATAACATCATTCTACATGCACCCGAACCTTAACCTCCCACTCCCACTGTAAAAAGAAAACCAAACCCTGTGATAACCACTTCCTCCGTGGAGGGCACTCCCTTGGCAACTCCATCCCCTGTCAATCAATTTTTTCCTATGCTATCAGCAATCCACCAGCTTGCCAATGCAACTCGCTCTAATTTGGCAAAGGACTGCTGGCTATGCTTAGACCCTCCCCCCTCCCCCCTGTACTTTGTGGGAATTGGGGCCGCCTCCTCCATAGGGCACACAGAAAAAAGCATACAAATCCTCAATCTAACTACGGTCCAGGCCCAGTCTCTGGGACATGCATCCTACCCTAACCTTAAGGGAAACCTGTTGTTTCTATGCTAATAAATCTGGAATAATATGGGAAAATCTTGCCCAGGTTAGAGAAAACATCAGGCAATGAGAAATGCAGCATCAGGCTTCAGGGAATTGGTACCAATTCCTCTTTTTTTGGTCCCCCTGGCCCACAACCCTAGTCTCAGCCATAGTGGGCCCCCTTCTTTTACTCCTAATAGATATCACTGTGGGACCCTGCATCATTAAGTCTTTTAAACTATGTTAAAAATAGCATCGCACACATCAAAATGATGGTTCTCAGGGTCCATTATAACCCCTTGTACGAGGAGTCAACGATTTGACTCCAGGAACATCTGAGAGAGGGGAATGAAATAAGGAACAGGAACATCTGCTCCTGGGCTTCTGAAGTGTCCCTGACCCCTAGAGCAGCCATAACTCCCTCCCTGGAAACTTCTTCTCCATTGTGTAATTAACTAGGAGAACTTGTCTGCTTACGCCAGCATAACCAGCCACATCTGCTTCCGTAAACTTGCTTGCTTGCTTGCACCATCAGGGTGTTGTGATTAGATCAAAGAAAAGCCCCTGATGCATGTAGTCCAGGCCTCCAGAATGCGGTTAAGGGCTATTTAAGACAATCCTTTGCTGCAGGACAGGGCCCTTGCTTTGGAACTTGTGTCTAGCAAGTGGTCGCTGGCCAGCAGAGCCTTGACTAATAAATCTCTCCTTTGTTAATTTGAGTCGGTGGGCTGTCATTTAATCACTCGGACCCTACTTCATAGCTTTCCTAGGAAAGCCATGCAGTAATTCTCATTTAATTCCTTAAATTAAATGCCATCTGGTACTACGGAGCTTCAGCTATATGATGTTCCTTCTTGGTCATTCTCCCTTTCTTCTCATCGTCTTCCAACTGCTGCCTCTCTCATATGATTTACCATTCACACAGAAGATTTACAATCACTCTCAATTAGGATTTTTCAAATTAGAAGAAAAAAATTCTTAATGAGATGTCTATATTAAGCCTTACAATTAAAAGTCATCCTTCACTTTCATCTGAGGGTTGTCAGTATAAAGACTGATGGCTTTTAGAGATAGAAGAAATAAAGACAGCAAGAAACTTTTCACAAAAAAGTATGTCTATTGTAGCAGAAACTGTTGCAATTAGCGTGACTTGGCTAGAGGAGCAAACTTACCTTTTCATTATGTCTCCGAAGTCCTGTAGAGAGAGAGAGGAAGGCTTAGTTCTCAGCACAAGATGACTCTCCTGTCGGGTCTAGTCTGAGGCAGTAACTAGAATGGAAAATTTAATCTCTCCACTTTCATTTTTTGGATCCCATAACTTTTCATTTTTCATCTTTATGAAGATGAAATGCAGTCTCATATCTACACATAGCTGATAAAATTACACTCTTGATAAATGTAGAATCTGAAGATGTCCTTCAGTTGAACAAATGGGATGGGAAGACACACTGATGTATGGCAATTTACAGCAAGAGGAACAGAGGTCTCCACAAAATTCTCTAAGGATATGCAGGTCCCAAATAGGACTTCAAAACTGTAAGAGTAAATACATTTCAACACTCCTACATTTTCACATTTCGACAAGTCCAGATAGAAAATTGAATCATGTATTCACGAGCTGCTCTGCTGTGGTTGGTAAGAAACAGTGGGTAGAGCAAGAAAGTTTCAGAAGGGAACTTTCCACATAGTTTTTCTTCCTTCCATATAAGGCAAGAAAGAGTGGGGCTGGGTCTGCCAGTTATATTGGAGGAACAAAATGTGCCACAAGGTCAGGAGATGCAGAATCTGGTGTTTGGAACCAGAAAAATAACGTAGGTCAAAGAGGATATAGACACCAGCAGATATAAATGATTCCCAAGCAGACTGATGTTCACACCCCAACTCTCTTCCTCTGTCCTTACCTGGAGCAGGTGCACATCTGCATTTTGGCACATTTCCTTCAGCTCCTTATACATCCCTCTCAGGAGATTCCCCACCTGAGCCATTCTGATTTCACTTCTTTTGAGTTGCTGAAAAAGCATCTTGCCTTCATTTGCCAGGCTCTCTAAATGTTTTTGCTTTTCTTCTTGGAGGTACTGATACACCTTAGGATATTCAGCCTTGATCATCACCATCCGCAAATTTATAAAACCCTGCTGTGACATGGGGTAATTAGATCATGTGTCCAGGGAGTCTTATTCTTCTCTTAACACTTATCCTGCTTTATCTAGTGTCTCTCTCTTGTATTAAATATAGTTTTATGCCTTTCTACTTTAAGAAAACCATAAACTTCCACCTTCCCTCTTTCCTTGCTTCCTTCCTTTTCATTTATTTTCCTTCACCACTGTTTTCTCCTACTTTCCCTCAAACCTTCATATTTTCATACAAGAAGATAGGAATTTAAGATCACATTTATACTGCTTTATCTAATGTTCTGGCCTTTTTGTTACTAAATCTAAATCATAATTAGTTCTTCTTTACACTCCTACTCACAAACTGTACACTCTTAGCAAAAAAGCAACAATTTACTTCCTCAGGAAAGCAGAGTATATAAGATGTGACTACATCGCTCTAAATTAAACATTCCCCCAAACACTTCATATTTTCACCAGTGGCTGGCTCTGCCTGCCTCTTACTGCACATGATATTACCCACCTCTTTTAGATTGTTGTACCACAGTATTTATTCTCTCCTGCCTCTGTTTTTCTCTCTGTCTCTACTGCTTGCTCATTATCTCTTTCTGACACCATCTCTGTCTTCCTCTTTCTGTTGTCTTTCTCTGCTTTTCTCTGTTTCTGTCTCAATTAATTTTTCACACTGTCTTTTTCCTCTTTCTACAAAACCTCTAAACGTGTGAAAAACATCCTTATCCCAATGAAGTCATCTAGCTTCTGATGCTAAAACTTTTAACCCATAAAAGCCAAATTTATTGATCAAATGTGATTGAATGTGCTGTGTCCATGTGTGCATTGACCCCTCCCAATATCCTTTAGTCCTGCATTTCTTCAGCTTATTTTTGCATTTGACACTATTTTTTGACTTATTCATTTCAATTATACCTGACTTTCCTGTCACAGAAAATGAGTCCCCAGACAGCCACTACTGGTTCATGCCTTCAGCACCTTCCTACCCAACCAGAAGTGACCTTACAATGAATGGTCTTCCCCAGGCCAGCATGCATTGTACAGATCTGCATTCTTTATGCCCATTCTCTTCTTTATTTTTCTTCAATGCACTTTATAAACATTTTTATTTATTTATTTAGAAGTTTATATTTCTATTTGTGGCTTGAATTTCCTCACTAGATTACAGGCTCCTGGGGTCAGTGATTTGTTTCTGCTTTTGTCCACTTTTATATCTCTGTGTTGGGCTAGAACAGTGAGTAGCACATGACACAATGATACAATGCAAAATTTTTAGCTAAGCATTTGCATTCCAGATGTGGCTATAATTACATTTCTAGTCATACCTCTCATCATGCCTGCCTCTTCTTTGTGAACTAATCAATAAACGTTATTTATAGATCCAAACAATTTCATGGCTTCTCTTATTTCTAGCTTTCTTTTTTCTTGAATCTTTTCACCATTAATTTGAAGCCATGTTTAAAAGAGTTAAAGAAGCCAGTGAAAAACATAAATTTTTGAGTCAGTTAAGAAAAAATGAAATGCTGAAACTCCCTCTGCTTGTAAGATAATAGAACTGAATGAAATCAGTTAGAACCAGTATGGTTAACTAGGGTCTGTGCAGAACCAGCTTGTGATGTCACAGCTTGAATTTCAACTGCATGTTTATACTCATGCTCCCAAATTTGCACATAATACTCATGAAGATAACCGCACTTGCCTGAGGACTTTCCTGACCTCCCCTTTCCAACCACCAAGCACCTACTAATCCCAGAATCCACCCCCTAAACCTTGCAAATGAAATTACTGCCATAAAGCCTGCACAGGAGACAGAGTGGAACTAAACTCCTGCCTCCTCATTATTTGACTTCCAAAAAAAAGCTTTTCTTTTTTCAAAAACCAATTATCATAGTATTGGCGTCTAGTGCATTGGACAGCAGACCTCTTTTTTCTCGTAACACTTACAGGTTCAAATAATGTGAAGGCTTTCTTATTTTTAGCTTTCTTGTTTCTCAAATCTTCCTACCATTAATGTTCATGATTTAAAAATTTTATTAATACATTAGCATCAGATTGATTTTTCACTTGTTTGAGGAGCTTTTTTTAAATGTTTAATATCTGCTAAACTGCTGTAGAACAATGTTTTAATCTTCATCCCAGTGATCATGCATGCCACTTTTAGCATATTCTCTTGTCACTGCTGATGTATTATTGTTAGCTATTGCTTTATCCAGAAAATCAGGAAAAATCATTTAGCTATATATTGGATTCAACGTGAAACCCACACCAAAGGTTACATTGAGGTTGGGTAGCTAGCATAATCTACATAAGTAGATGAGTTTTTTTGCAGGCATATATGACTTAGATAATTAGAAGACCAGATGTTCAGGCATCCAGCTTATGCCATCTTATCAGGATATAACTCTCTAGGACAACACATAAGCATACAAACCCAACCTCAGAGTCTGGGGTGGCTGATGCACTCAGTTACAGAAATAATAAACAAAGCAATACAGAATTACCAGAGGAACTGGAGAATGGTGTTTTCAGGAAGAAATGCAGTTAAACCATAAAACAATAACTTTCACCATTATCTCCAGACTTCCACAGAATGCAAGTAATCTTAGAAGTAGATGATAAGAGTAGGAACTTGTGATCAATAATTTGTGGCCTACCATGGAGCACACAAATCTTAGTTTAAGAAATAGGCTACTTAATCATCACTAAGAAAATATGTAAAGCACCCAGTTAACAACAGCTCAGAGTGTCCTTTCTCTTACAGGCCCCATGCTCTTTCTTGAATATGTCTTTTCTTTTTAATAAATCTTGTCTTAAACCATACCTTGGACTTGCTCTGAAAGTCTTTTATGTGATCAAGTCAGGAACTCACAGAATAACTACCCCACATTTTACCTGACACCATCTTTAGCACTTAAATTGGGGATTCAGAAGTTCATCAATTGCCATTACCCTGTGGATTTATGAGTAGAATCACATTCAGTCACTCTCCTCTAAGGCTCTGCTTCCATTTCTACTCTTCCCTCCTTTGGGGCCATCTATGGACTCTTCTCTCTGTCACTCATGTTTCTGCTTCCTCCAGCCAGGCTACTGAGCCTCCTGGCAAGAGGCTAGTGGGGGTGAGAAGGGGCTTGACTTCTGTACAGTGTAGAATTGAAACACAGGTGATCCTTCCTGAGGGAAGGCATAGAAGGGTTGGAAGAAGCCAAGCTTCATTTCGAGTAGCGACTGGAAGACCCCTTTCATCTTTTGTGCCTTGCTCATGCTCTTCTACCAGGAGATGTGAGGAAAGGATTTCAATCTAGGATGAGGATGAAAGGTTTTCTCTGTTGTTTGAAGAATCAAATTGTTTTAATTTTCAAGTGCTGAATTACCAGGTGATTTGGAAAAGAGTTTGTCTTTAAAGTTTTATACCTTGCCCAGGATCAATTACAATGAACTATTTATCTTTTTGGAAAGGTTTGGGGGCTTTGACCCTATAGACTTCAAGAATGTCTTTGAAGCCTTCTATATGGTTCTTTTTTATTTAATAAATTGTCCAGGCAAACAGATGTAGGTGTCATCATAGAAAAGTACTATCTAAAAGACCATGCTATTTTAGCCACATACAGAACATAGCCTGTCCTACTACAGTGCATTCATATATTAGTGAGAGATGTCTTAAACTCACCTCACATGCCCAGGGGTAAACAATTACCCTTTTTAAAAATTTTCCCAGAAACATGAATTCTGCTATCATGCAGTGTTCCCCCAGTGAGCTCACCTGCTCCATCTCGCACAGACTATTTCACAGACCCTGTCACCGTTAGCTGTAAGCACAGATTTTGTAGCCCCTGTCTCTACCTCTCGTGGAAAGATGCTCAGGCATCCACTTGCTGCCCTATGTGCAAGGTGTTACCACAGAAAAAGCACTATTTTTGCGAAGAAAGAAGAATCAGTCATTTGTGCATTACCAACCTCTGAAATTCAGATCTGTAGGAGACACCAAAACATTAAGAACCTCTACGGTAAAACTGACAAGAGTCTGCTATGTTTTCTCTGCTGTCAATTTCCAGAGCATGACACTCACAGACACTATCCAATAAATCAGATTGCTGAGTACTCCAGGGTAAGCAATGTCTTAGATATAACCATATATATTTTTGAGCTCTTCCTCTGGTTAAGGGATCCTGCTGACTTAGAGGAAAGGGCGCTGCCTATGTCATTCTAATTCATTTCAAGAAGGCATTTTGGGAACTAGACAATTCTGAAACTGTTTTGAAGTCTGTACTCAAACCTCATATCCTACAACTTTACCATATATGCTGAAGGGACATAAAGTTTACCACTGGCACTGGAAGTAAATTGTTCCATTGGGAAATGATGAGACTTTATTTTTAACATTATTCCTAAATGATACCACTGTTTTTTATGTGCAATTTGCTGAGAGTTTTTTGTTTTTTTGTTTTTTTGGCAAAGGAAGTCTGGACACAATATTGTACCTGGCTTACTTCTGTCAGAAACATGAAGTCTTAGACACTCGATGCTATTTGTGTGGTGTGGTAAGGCAAGGGAACTGGCTGTTCCTTATACTTCCTTCTTTAAAAGACCCATGCCAACCTTTCTTTTGTGTCCTCTTTCACTGCTTAAAACGCAGTTCTGTGATCTATAGGGGTTCTTCAGTTAGTCTGCCTGATCCTAATCGGAAATGGGTAGGAACACATCATTTAACTACATTTAATTCTCTTAAATTTTTAAAGTGCCTTGAATATAAAAATGACCAGCCCATTCAAACGGTCTGTTCACTCCAAAGCTTATGCATTAGACCATTCCAAATGGCATTATTAGAAAGCCTCCAATCAGTCCACAATTGTGCAAATAATTATTCATGGGCAAAAAGCATAAAGGTATGACCAAAAGTTTTTAGTCTGTAACCTCAAGTCACAAAGCACTCACAGGAAGTCCTACATAGACAATCACAAGGAAGAAAAACCAAGAACTATTGGCCCAGAGAGCCAACAGGGACCTAGAGA